TCCATTCTCCTTTTCAGTAAATGGCAACTCCATTCTTCATATTACTCAGGTGAAAAACCATCTTCCTGGATCCTTCTGTACCAATGATCAGCAAAATGTATTGGCTCTATCTTTAAACGTTAACCTCTTTTCACTATGGACATAGCAATCCTGATGTAAGCCACATCATCTCTCAACTGAGTTAGTACAAGAACGTCCTAAGGGATGCCCTAGCTTCAACCTTTGCCCTCCTACAGTTCATTAGTTATTCACAAGTAGCCACCATCATCCTTTTTACATGCACATTAGATCATGCCACTCTTCTCAAAATCTCTCATTTCACTCAAATCTAAACCAGGGTCCCTGGAGGACCTATGTGACCTTACAATGCCTTCTAAATCTACCTCCAATGGCTTCTCTAGCCTCTTCCCATCTCCCTCACCCTACCAAGCCACCCTGACCTCCTTACTGTTCACAGTTCTTTGGATGGGATAGGCAAGGTCCTGACTCAGGGCCTTTGCAGGTTGCCTAGAGGTTCTCCTCCAGAGACCCACAAGACTTGATTGTTTCCTGCTCTAATGTTACCTTCTCAGATTCACCTTCCTCATCTCCCTGGAACAAAATAATTCCCTCACCCCTTACTGCTAGCACTTTCTAACCCCCCTTTTGCCTTATTTTTTATTCTAAACATTAAAGGACATACTAAATATTTATTTGTTTCTACCAGGATGTATGTTCCACAAAATTTGGATCTTTATCTGTTTTGTTCATTGTTGTTTATTTATGTAGTGTTTTTATATATAAATCTATTTATTATTTGGTAACATAAGGCTGGTTCCTCTTTACTTCCCTGGAGTTTTGTCTAAAGTAGTGCTTAGAACATAGTGGGTATTAAATACATATTGTTCAATGAGTGATTATATAAATGAAAGATACCATTATCACCATAAATTGACAGTGTTTATTGAAAATCTGTTAACTACAACTAGAGTTAGATGCACAGGACACTTCTGAAAATATAATTCATGCTGACCCACTTTAACAAATAATCTGTCATGTATTAATTAGTACATGAGATAAAAAATAGAAATAAGAAACTAAAAAGCTTTGTAATATACAGTTTTATATAAAAGTAGTCCCAAAGTACAGTCAGTCATTATTATTGAAATCTTCATCTAAAATAGTTCTTGGTGGTCCAGATACCAATATGAGAAGAAGCTTTAAGAGCAGAATTAAATTATCCAGTATATGGTTAATGTCGGTTTGAGAATACATTTTCATTTTGACTTGTGGTCTTAATATATGCGGTAAAAGAATTAGCCACAAATCAATTAAGAATATGCATGTGGTTTTCTCTAGCTGGAAAATATTCATAGATGCCCTACTTAGTACTTAGACATAGTTGCCATTTTCTAATTTTCACATTTTAATTCCCTTCTAGAATGAGGTTAGTGTGCCCTATAACAAATTACCCTCTAATTTATTTATGTGCCACCTTACTTCAAAAAGAGTATAAGTCAACTATGTAAACATTTGGATTTAATGGCATGATTTGACCTCAGATACAAACAATATAAAATTTCACTTGTTGATATAAAGCAATTTTAAAACTTTCATTTTTATTCTTTTAAATGCATAAAAGTAACAAGTCATAATAATAACTTTTTGTTGTTTGTTTTTGTTAATCCTCACCCTAGGCTATTTTTCCATTGATTTTTAGGAAGAGTAGAAGAAAGAGGGATATATAGAGAGAAACGTCAATGTGAGAGAAACAATTGGTCTCATCAATTGGTTGCCTCCTGCACAAATCCCGAACAGGTACAGGCCAGGGAGCAGCCTGCAGCCGAGGCACATGCCCTTGACTGGGACCCTTTGATTCATAGGCCAATGCTCTATCCACTGAACCACATCGGCTAGGGCAGTAACTCTTTTCTAATATGTGAAGCCATGCTCAGTGCTTTCTCATTTAATTTACTCATTTACTCATGATACCAGGATGTTATTATGTCTGCCTTACAGATTTGTAAACTGAAGTGCATATAGATTAAGTAAGGGGCTTCAACTCTCACAATTTATCGAGGGGCAGAGCTTGAAATTTGAACCTAAGTCTGTCTCCAAAACCTGAGCGCTGGGCTTTTCATCACCATGATACAATCTTGTCCTCTCATGGTACTCATAGTGATCTCCCTGCTGGTGAGAGGAAAGAGGCAGCGCTGGAAAATACATTTATACTAAGAGTTAGAAACCTGAGCTGAACAAGGTAGAGTAGCTGCTGCCATCTGCATGCTGTGGATCCCCCTCCCTCCAGCCTCTGTCAGCCTTAGAGAATTTTTTTTTTTTATTGCCTTCTGAGGTTATCCTGCTCTGATAGTGGCAATAAGCTTAAAAAATAGAAATATAATTTATATAGTATTTTGATTTATAAATGCATTTATTTCATGGTAGTACAGGCTGGTTCCTCTTTTTCTCCCTGGAGTTTTGTGTCTTAGCAAGCACATTACTCTGGATTCCAACAAGTCTAAGTGGCTGGCATGTTGTAATCCTGGCTGGGTTTCTGTGGGGCTGGAGAAATTCGGGAGTTGCAGTATAGACACATAATAGGAACAGGGCCTGAAGTGGAGCCCCAGGGGTGAAATGCCAGTGATTTTTAAACCGTTTCTTCCCCACAAAGCCTATCAAGTTAGTCCCTCAGGACAGAGAGCAGTTAATGGTATTAGATAAAGAGTCAGGTGGGTGCTGGCCTCTGCAGCACCAATACTATGACTGGAACAGCGCAGGAGTGGAGAAGACCCTGAATGAAAATGACATACCATTTGTGAAGGGTTCTCTCCGTTAACTATAAGAATGTATGGTACTTGTCTTTTCACCGTCATTCAAATTCTAAGGTTATTTCCCTTCTAAATTAGATTTCTATATCAAGTTAGGTTTCACAATGTAGTACAACTAACTTAGGAATCTACAAGTAATCCACTACAGGCAATTAGTACAGAGATAGAACCTAGACCATGGTCACAGCTCCCAAACAGGGAGAATGTAAGAAAATTATATATATATATATATATATATATATATATATATATATATATATATATATATATTTAAATGCTCCACTTCTTTGGTTGTCTCTTAAGTGTGATAGAGAGAAAATTATTAGAAATGGAAAACTGAGCGCTCTGGCTGGGTAGCGCTGTTGGTTAGAGAATTGTCTGGATTCGCCAAGATTGCAGGTGTAATCTTCAGTCAGGGCACATCTGAGAAACAACCAATTAATACATAAATAAGTGGAATAACAGATCAATGTCTCTTTCTCTCTGTTTCTCTCTCTCCCTCTTTCCTTCCTTAACTCTCTCTCTCTTTCTCTCTCTCTTTCTCATCAATGAATTTTTTTAAATGGCACACAAACAAAGGCAAACTGAAGATATGAGAAAGGCAGCATGCTACTGACAATAATGGAGTAACTGATAAGAAATGCTGATTTTGCCTGGCCGGTGTGGCTCAGTGGTTGAGCACTGACTCATGAACCAGGAGGTCATGGTTCGATGCCTGGGTTTCGCGCTTGATCCCCAGTGTTGGGTGTGCAGGAGGCAGACGATCTCATCATTGATATTTCTATCTCTCTTTCCCTTTTGCATCTCTCTGAAACCAATGAAGATATATATGTATTTTTTAAATCTTACAACATTTTGGAGGAGCAGCCTAGAAAAAGACATCTCCCTGGTCTTCTGACTCCTGAGGGAAAAGGAAATAGGAAGGGACTGGGCCCAGACCCAGTTATTCTTGAGTAGAATCAAGCCCATTTTCAAGAGGGAAGAGAGAGCGAGGGGCAGGACAAGAGGCGGGGACGTTTAAAGACAATTTCTTCTTACAGAACCAGAAAAATGAGGGAAGAGACATTCCCCAGTACTCTCCTCTCCACTACTCCCAATCTCCCACCCCCTTAAAATATCACAGAGTAAATTTTTTCAAAGACTTCAAAGAGAGGCTCAAACTTTTTGTTCAAAGGTAATGTCAGTTAATCAAATGTTAAGCATTAGTGTTAACAAATAACTGGAAATTTTAATTGGTGGGTTAGAGATCCTCAATATTCAATTACAGAAACTTAGATAAATATAATTGGAAGTGATAATTTAATAGCTCTCAATTTCTCTCATTCCAGAATGGGTCTCTCTCCTCGATCTTGTCCATCCCCTCATCCAATCAACCACCAGAGCCAGTCATTTCTAACCTCAAAATACGTAGAAGGTCTTTTTGACCTCGTCTGCTTTACTTCAAGTTATTTCTTATACTTGCATGCCCAAGAGTATTGAACTTGAACTTTCTCAAAACTGGCGTGTCATTTCATTTGTTTGTTTCGGAACATGCTGTGTGTGTGTGTGTGGGGGGGGTGTGTTCCTATCTGGAAGGTTAGTATTCCTCTATCTCATCCAAATCTCCCACCCCTCATTACCCCTCATCTCATTCTTAAGGTTATCCTACACCTGAGCCCTTGCACTGAGCCGCTATGCAATGCCCTTTCCCAGAGGGTGCTCATGTATTTCAAGCTACATCGAGAGCTAACTTACCCAATAGGCACAGTAGGCATAGTGCCTGTTTCCAGGAGTCCATGAAAATGATTAATTTCATTTAAAATCAGAAGGAAAAAATTAACTGTTAAGTCAGAGAAAATGTTTTAATATGTGATATTAATATATTTGCTTTTATAGCAATAGTTGTAAATATTATAAAAACATAGGTACCATGTATATATAAATATAAACAGACCTACACACATACATATTTTTTTTTCTTTATAGAAGGAGTCCATGAAAGCAAAATTGTTTAGGGCCCGTGAAAGTCACATTGTAGTCATAGATAATCTTCAATTTCTTTTTTTAATTCTCAAGATAAAATCAAGTTTGATCTATTTTTTTTCTTCAATTAATGTTGATTTCTGAAAGTAGGCTAAAAAAGCAGCATCAAAAAATTCAGAAATAATTAATGCAAGCCAAACGATAACTGGTAATTATGATCTTTTTTTAAAGTTTAGAGACAGAAGAAGAACAACAATATCTCTCCTCAAATTCTATAAACATCTCCACTGATTCATTACAAGGAGGCAAGAAGTATTTGGTCTGGGTCCAAGCTGCAAATGTACTAGGTATGGAGAAGTCAAAACAACTGCAAGTTCACCTGGATGATATAGGTAAAGAATAAGAAATTTGATACTGTATTTACAATAAACAACTAATTTGTGCTGACCTAGTTAAATGAAGTCTAGATCTAAAAGGAGTTCCCCAAAAGTTCTTGTAAATCATGATAAAGAAAACAAGAATTACCCATAATTTCTACATAAGTATATCTTTTTTTTTTTTTTTTATACTGATAACTTTTTATGTTCAAGGATTGTGCTAAGGGTTACGGGGAATAAAATAGACAAGGTACCTGCTGCCCTAAATATCTTAAAGTCTACCAGGGAAGATGGAAGGAAATAAGAATTAAGGTAGATAAAGTATTTTGAGTCTTATGTTCTGAGAAGTGCAGCATAATAAAGAATTTCTTCTGTATGCACTATTGTGAAAGTTATATTTTTGTTTTTATTTTGAAAAGTTTTACAAAATGCATAAAAAAAAATTTGGAGAATTTTATAGATATCTTTATCAGCCAAATTTTATAAATGTTAATATTCTTTGCTTCAAATATTTTTAGAACTTGCCTTTTTTGACTTATAATATAGAATAAATATTTCTATTAGTTTAATCTACAATAGTATTTTAATAAATGTCATCATTAACTAGTTACTATTGTTGAAGATTTAGACTGTTTTCAAATTTTCACCATTATAAATTACTAGAGGTCGGGTGCACGAAATTCATGCACTGGGCAGGGGGTTGGGGGTGTGGAGGGGTCTTATCAGCCCAGCTTGCACCCTCTCCAGTCCAGGACCCCTCTCATAATCCTATACTGCTGGCTCCTAATTTCTCACCTGCCTGCCTGCTTGGTCACCCCTAATTGCTCCAAACACACCAGCCTGATTGCCCTCACTGTCTCTGTGTGCTGGCCTGATCACCCCTAACTCCTCACCCCTGCTGGCCTGGACACCCCCAACTGCCCTCCTGCTGGCCTGGTTACCCCCAAATGCCCCCCCTGCCAGCCTGGTCACCTCTAACAGCCCCACCTGCTGATCTGGTCACCCCCAACTGCCCCCCGCCATCCTGGTTGCCCCATGCAGCCTGCTATTTAGTCGTTTGGTCATCCCTCAGGCTGACCCTGGATGGTTGGGCAGCTGCCATCTGAGGCTTGCCTGTGCCTCAGGCCAGCCCTGGGCGGCTGGGGGGCTGAGGGGACTAGGGGACTCTGAGGCAGGCACGCAGAGCACACCTGCTGCCCCAGCAGGGCTGAGGGAACTGGGCGCTGCCATCTTGTGGCTGTGAGTGCCACCATCTTTGAGGGTGTGGAAGTCAATTAGCATATTCCCTCCTTATTGGCTGTGGGCGCTGCCATCTTTGTGAAGGCATGATGGTCAATTAGCATATCCCCTCTTTATTAGATAGGATTGCCATGAACAACCTTTTGGCTAAATTTTTGCTTATAGTTGGTTTTCTTCTGAAGGTAAATTCCAAAAAGTAACTTCGCCTTTTACAACTTGAGCATTTTATAACTACATCCCAGCCTTAAAGCCAGAGTTCAGCCAATGAACACCAAATGTGAATCATCTTCTTTGGAGATCCTTGTCCCAGCTATTCCTGTTTTTATCATAGTAGCTAACCCTTATTTGTGGATTTGCTTTATGTGATTTCAGTTATGTGTGGTCAAAATATTAAATGAAAAATTTCAGAAATAAACAATTCACAAGTTTTAAATAGTTTACCATTTTGAGTAGAGTGATTAAGTCTCGAGCCATTCTGTTAAATTCTGCCCAGGTTGTGAATCATCCTTTTACTCAGTATATCCACCTGCTATACTAGAATATACGCTTCCTATTTAGTAATCATTTAGTAGCTCTCTTGGTTATCAGATTTACTGTCACATTGTTTGTGTTCAAGTAACCCTTATTTTATTTAATAATGCCACAGAATGCAAGAGTAGTGATGCTGACAATTCAAATATTCCAGAGAGAAGTGTAAAGTGCCTCCTTTAAGTAAAAAGGTATGAGTAGTACAAATTATATTATGAAAGAGAGTGCACATTCACATAACTTTTATTACAGTACCAGAGGCCCCATGTACTGGATGGGTGCACTGGTGGGGGGGGGGGGCGTGGCCTGTGGGGATCACCTACTGTGGGAGAGCTGCTCCTCTCAGTCAGCTGAGTGGCACCCCCCCTGTGGGAGTGCACTGACCACCAGGGGACAGCTCCTGCATTGAGTGTCTGCCCCCTGGTGGTCAGTGCACATCATGATGTATATATATTTTCTTTTTTTATTAAGGTATTATATGTGTACATATCTTAATATCATAGGTATATATGTACAGGAGAAAACATAGTATTCCTAGGGTTTGGTACTATCCATGGTTTTAGGCATCTACTGAGAGTCTTGGACCTGTCAGCCACGGATAAGGAAGACATGAAGGATGATTTCAGCAGGCTAACATTTATGCAGCACTTTCTTCAGGCTAACTGCTATTACATACATCATCTTATTTAACCCTCACAACAGCTCTATTTTGCAGAAGGTGTTATAATGTATACATGAGAAAACTGAGGCTAAGTTACATTAAGAAATTTGAGATTGCAGAGTTAGGGAGCTTCTAATTCCAACATCCTCAACTATTGATACTATCCTCAGTTTTTATTTAAACGCATAGTACAAGGTGTCTAACAATTTTCCTGTTGACTAATAACTTAAGAGATGTGATGCCTTCTTATGGGGTACAACATGGGTATCTTTGGGGATCACAAAGATCTTCTCTTGGAGCTAATATTTTAATTTCTCTACTTCTGTCTTGACTTATGTCAACTATCTCAACTAACAGTATTAGTCTAAAAATCTGTCATTATGCTCTAAATTTTGGATTTGAAATAAACAATGCTGACTATGGTGATGAAAAATAATTCCATTGTATTGTATATTCTTGGAGTTACAGTTCTCTTGACCATGACCTATACATTTTTGTAAATTTATATTTTGAAGTAGGCTGGGGTAACATGCTCTTTTCTTACAACAAATTTACCTTGACAGATTAATGATAATTAAAGGCTATCATATCCACTATCATTTGGGCAATATGATTTAGTATATAAATTTAGTATATAAATTAGTAGTAGCACTGTTACTGTTATTATCATTGTGACCTTATTATGATCATAATATTATTGAATTGTGTTCTAGACAACAAGCATATCACATTAAATTCTGGGACAATCACAAATGGTACTGTGCACATTTTACAGATGAAGGAAGAGATAAGATAATTTTCTCAAGGTTGCATAACTAGTGGGACAGCTAGATTTCATCCCAAACTTGTTAACTTGTCATAGTTAATTATCACTCCACCTCTCATAAAGCAAAAATCTTATTTGGTCGCCACCATCAGCAAATCTGACTTCTCACACCGTGAATAAGGAAGCTTCTTGTTTGGAATTGTTCCTCCTCCTCCTCCTCATCCTTTTTTTCTCCTCCACCTCATTATCTATTAATATATAATATATACAGATAGAGGACTTCATACAACAAATCCACCAGAATATTAACAGATGAGCTATTTTCCTTTGTGACACTTTAAGAATGAGACATTGCAAGTTAGATAAATGAATTGTTCTATAAAACTGCGGAAAGTGGAATCTCCTGGGAGCAATTTCCACATAATAGCTATGGGATTGGGCTTTAATTAAATTAGGCTGTGCTGAAAGGCAAGGCTGAGTTAATAGTGTAGTAACACTGTGCCAAAATGACATGTGAGAGGAATGCTTAACTTCTCTTGTAGAGAAATAAATTAGAATACAGAAAGTGCAGTGCTTTCTGGCCATTTTGAACATTACTGTCCCCCAATGAATAATTATGGGTAAGTACATGCTATTTATTTCAATACAGGAGGTCCGGTGCATGAAATTTGTGCATGGAGGTATGTGTCCTGCAGTCCAGCCTGTACCCTCTCCAATCTGGGACCCCTCGAGGGATTGGGCCTAAACGGAGAGTTGGACATCTCTCTCACAATCCAGGACTGCTGGCTCCCAACTGCTCACCTGCCTGCCTGCCTGCTTGCCCCTAACCACTCCCCTGCCAGCCTGGCCAATGCCTAACTCCCCTGCTGGCCCATTTGCCCCTAACTGTCCTCCCCTGTTGGCTTGGACCTCCCAACTGCCCTTCCCTAAAGGTCTGGTCCCCCCAACTGCCCTCCCCTGCAGGCCTGGGTCCCTCCAAACTGTCCTCCCCATCCGGCCATCTTGTGGTGGCTATCTTGTGTCCATATGGGGGCAGCCATCTTTGACTACATGGGGGTGGTCATCTTGTGTGTTGGAGTGATGGTCAATTTGCATATTACTCTTTTATTAGATAAGACACATGGAATCTTCAAATATGGTATATATGATGACATGACAGTTTTGGGGGAATTTTAGATTGCTTTTTCAATGTATAAATATTTCATGGCAGGCAAAACTGAATAATACATTGTGTATAGAGAAATACATGTGAGGTAGGAAAAAAGCAATGGAATTATTACCAATAAACTAAGGATCGAAGCTACCTCTTCTATAAGGGAAAAGAGGTTTGGGATTGATTGTTTGGCCAATCAATATCTTCCATAGAATCTAATTTGGGTTGTTTTCCAAATGGATGCTCAGTTATTACAACATAATATTTGTCATTTTACTTATTATTATAGATATTTCTTTTATAGTTTTATCATATATTTTATCATATCCTAAGTTCTCTTTTACAGTTGGGTCTAGATTTGATAGATCTTTAATAAATATAAAATATAGAAAAACAAAACCAAAATAAAAATGTAAAATCTTATGGGAAGGTTTGAACCTAAGCAATGACAGCAAAAATTTAACATTTGAATCTTGTGTAACAAACAATTTATTCAAGTACATGTTATATAACATATTTATTTTTTAAAATACATAAGCTCATTCAAATCTAAAGGCTTAGATTTCTACTGTGTTGAGACTCTATCTTAAACCTGACTTACTGTGATTTGCATTTCTCATAGGAATAAACAGATTTTGGTTCCTCCCAGAAATTTATTTCTCTAAATGAATGCTTGTGCTGCTCTAGCAGTGGCAGGCCAAACTCAGAAGTGGGAGACAGGAGCTGGAAAATAACACAGCACTAAGGGTGCTTATGTGGTCTCAGAAGGTCCACTTCCCTTCATATAAGAAGTGTATACTAGCTATAAGAAATCAACAATGGGATTCAGATGATAAAAGTTTGATACAGTAAGGTCTTTAATTAGACTAATTCTACTACTATTCTGTCCTGTGGGAACCTCTTTCACATCCCACATGGTTCAGGGTTCTGGTTCAGGGTTCTGGTTCTGGAGAAGGGCCTCACACAAAAGAAAGAGACTAGAAGAAATTTAATTTGGCAATATGGGGGGCCCAACTCTAGTGGCAGGACTGCCCTAGAGTCCTGCCTTGCTGTCCCTTTTATTGAGTCTATGGGATACACGCATTACCCTTAAGTAGGTTTTGGGATACAGAATCTTTCCAATCTTTCCAATATTTCCAACCTTTCCAAAATTCGGGACTTTTTTAAAACACCGAGGGACGTGGGAAAAATTGTTAAAAATCAGGACTGTCCCACCAAAAGCAGAGAGATCTGGTCACCTTAGGATACACCCATATCTCTTAGGCAGGTAATAAGTGGATTATCATGTCAGTAAGGATTTACATGATTATTTGATGGGGAAGTTGCCTCAGTTACCATTGTCTCAATTAGATAGGGAGTGGTTGGCTCTGATCTTTCAGAGCTTCAAGGTTGACCAGCCTATTACATCTTTCTATTAGTGAGACAATGATCAGTTTCTGGCACTGTCCTGCTCTAGGTTTAGCCCAAGGATTTTATTCTAAGACTGAACTACTAGAGAGCAAATTTTTAATTTTTTATACTTCTTTATAAATCACATACCTGTGCACATAATTTTAGATAATAGTTATTAATAATTAAAAAGCAATTTCCCCAAAGAATACTTTCAACATTTAGAATAAATGAAAAGAAGATGAATTCATAAAGGATATTAAACTTTAACAATGGTCCCTAAAAACACACATACAGTCTTGAGCTTTTTATTAAATAATACAAGTAGAAGTCCCCGCCAGGTGGCTCAGTTCATTGGAGCATCATCCTGTACACCAAAAACGTTGTGGGTTTGATTCCCAGTCAGGTAACATACCTATGTTGTAGATTCATTCCCCAGTTGGCATGCAAATGGGAGACAAATATCCTCTCTCTCTAAAAAATCAATAAACATATCCTTAAGTAAGGATTTAAAAATAAAAGAATGCAATAATATCAATAATAATACATTTAGAAAAGTCATAGGTTTTTTGTTTTGTTTTGTTGTTTGTTCTAAGCGTGCATTTAGGAGAAATGGAAAGTACCAATAATTCCATTCATTTGGACAGAAAAAAACTTTTAAATATTTATATAGTTTAGAAATATAGAGATTTCATTTACACCATTACATAGTACAACAACAACAACAAAAAAACTAGTGAGAGAATCCATCAGAATTTCAATTTCCTTTTGAAAGTTATTTTCATAGAACATAGTGGTAATTGGTTAAATCTTAGAGTCTTGTGAGATTTGCTTTATTCAAATCATACTTTCAAATACAGATTTGTTTTAATGAAGAATAAAACAAGTTAGCAGTAAATATAAACATTCACACAAATTTTCATCTAACATCAAAGAATAAAAATAATATTACTGTGAAAGGTTTAAATTTAACAAGTTATTAAATCAAATTATTTTAAGTAAATTTAAGATGCAAAACATCTCTCCTAAACAGATGCAGAGAATAAGAGCTATCTCCTTTATTTTTTTAAATTATTTTTTTAATAAGACCAGGCTCTGGAATTTCATTAGTTAGAATTATAAGGGTGTGTGTGTGTTGGGGAGGGGGGGTGTGAGGGAGGAGAAAAGGCAAGACTATTGGAGTTCCTTTTAAAAGAACTGAAGTATGGGTTGAATAGAATTTTATTTAGCAACAACAATTGTTTCCTATATAACAGAATAGAAAACAAGGGAAAAATCATTCATTGTTAATTAGATCATGGAATTATTTTTAGTACTTAAGAGTTTATTTTTTATAATTTTTTAGATTTATTTCTTGATGAGAGAGAAAGAGAGAGAGAGAGAGAGAGAGAGAGAGAGAGAGAGAGAGAGAGAGAGAGAGAATATTGATTTGTAGTTCCACTTCTATATGCATTCATTGGTTGATTCTAGTATGTGTCACTGACCGGGGATCAAACCTAAAACCTTGGCATATTGGGACGATGCTCTCACTAAGTGAACTATGTGTGTGGCCAGGGCAGTACTGAGTTGTAACATGTCTGTAAATTGATGAAAAGATACACATTTCTCTCTAGGCAAGTTTTAAATTACTAGGTTTTTGTTTTTATTTTTTTTAGTGATACCTTCAGAAGCCATCATTTCCAGGGCTGAGGACAGAAATACTACAGTCCCCAAGACCATAATTCATTGGAATAGTCAAACAACAATTGAAAAGGTTTCCTGTGAAATGAGACACAAGGCTACAACAAACCGAACTTGGAATGTAAGCTAACGTTCACTATTCTTTAGTATGTAAGTGAATGAAAAAAAAGCACCAACCAACAGTCAGGGACCACAGGGACTTACAGTGATCTATTTGACATGTTTCTATCTGATTCTTTGTGTGATATTTATATCACTCTGGTTTTAATAATGATTAAACTATGCTTCTACACAGGGAGATGTTTTCTGATATTTCATAGATGTGCCTTTTGTAAAGTGTTAAACAGTTGAATGTTCAGCTGAGAGATGTCCATCTACTTAGTTCTTAGGCTTCAGTCTTAGATGAGTATAAGGTTACAAAGTGAATGTCTACTGGTAGACAAACTAATTATCCTCAAATACCAATGGCAAGTTATCAAGTGTCTTAGGAGAGGCATAGCTACAAGGTTCATTAATAAAATCACATCACATGACAGCACCTGTGAACATTAATAAAAACTCACTAATTTGAACTATAGGATAACACTAGTCTGAGAAAAAGGTTCCGATTTGAAAAGAGATGCAACTTTATTTTTGTGTGATTACAATTAATTGCCATTTAGTAAAAATAATAAATGGAGTTGCCTGGTTTTGCTTGAGAGTTATTTATCATATATGATGGATACATGGATAAAGAAGATTTGAGATATATCTAGTATACACACACACAATGGAATATTACTCAGCAATTAAGAAAAAATGTGATCTTGCCATTTGTGACTACATGGGTGGACCTAGAAAGCATTATGCTAAGTGAAATAAGACAGACAGAGAAAAACAAATATCATATGATTTCACTTATATGTAGAATCTAAAAAACAACAAAATAAATAACAAAAATAGACATATTGTTAAAGAGAACAAGCTAATGTTTGCCAAAGGGGAGGAAGGTGGAAGGAAAAATTAAAGAAAGAAAAGAAAAGAAAAGAAAAGAAAGAAAAGAAAAGAAAAGAAAAGAAAAGAAAAGGAAAGAAAAGAAAAGAAAAGAAAGGAAAGGAAAGGAAAGGAAAGGAAAGGAAAGGAAAGGAAAGGAAAGGAAAGAAAAGGAAAGAAAAGGAAAGAAAAGAGGAAAGAAAAGGAAAGGAAAGGAAAAGGAAAGAAAAGGAAAAGGAAAGAGCTAAAGAGTATAAAGATGAGGGTAAAACTATATTGACTTCATGACATCATCTAAAGATTGCTCTTTCAAACAAATCCCTGTTGTCAGTAGTTTATTTACCTTGTTCATTTAAATCAGAAATGTGAACTTCACAGTTGTTCAGATTACACTGATATGCGAGTCCATGTGCTGCATTGTTTGGGCAGTAACCAAGTGGCCATGCTGCTGGACTCCATGCCTGAATAATTATGCATCTGGGTGCACAGCAGGCCCACACTTAATGTCTGGGACAGATGAGATAAACACTAAACAAAAATCCACAGCCACTCTTTTGCCGAGGCTGAACTTAGGTAAATTTGAGAACAACCTAAATGAAATTCTTGAGTCTTATATTTTGAATTCATAGGGTTTTGCTCAAATAGAATACCTGGGCCCTGTGTAGTGTGACAGTCATAGGATGATACTGAGAATAGGAAACTCCTTTATTTGGCAGAAGTAGAAGAAATTAATAGGTTGTAAGAATGTTTAGAAAATACAAAGGAATTATGTTATCTGAATTTCTGAATAAGTTTTCAGAAATCAGCTGTTTTCTGGTTGAAATTCTTATTCTCTGCTCCCCCTGGTGGAGCTATATATGCCATTGTGAGATTTGGTAACCATAAATTTGAGTTAACTTTTCAAAACCTTCTCTTTCAATGAAAAGACAACAATACAAAATCTATGGGACACAGTGAAAGCAGTCCTGAGAGGGAAGTTTATAGCTGTACAGGACTACTTTAAAAAAACAAGAAAAAAATGGTAATAAATCATCTAACTCTACAACTTAAAGAATTAGAAAGAAAGCAATAAGAAAAGCACAGACTTGCATATCAGTGTAATCTAATAAAGGAAGGAGATAATAAAGATCAGAGTAGAAATAAATGACATAGAGACCAAATAAACAATACTAAAGATCAATGAAACCAAGAGTTGGTCCTTTGAAAGGACAAATAAGATTGATGAACCTCTAGCCAGGCTCACCAAGAAGCAAAGAGAGAAACCCTAAATAAACAAAATCAGAAATGAAAGAGGACTCAGCAATTTCCGATTTACAAGCAATGGGAAAGATTTTAAAGGAAGGAAAATGGGTGCCACATCAACTGAATGAAATGAAAAGCCAAAAAGTCATCAATAAAATGTTGCTTCAATGGCACAAAAGAAAGTCTTTTTTGCATCAAATTGTGACTGGCAATGAAAAGTGGATTTATTCTGACAATCCCAAATGCACAAAATTATGGGTTGGTGCAGGTCAACCAGAAACATCGACTGCAAGGCCAGATTGCTTCGGAAAGAAGACAATGCTCTGCATTTGGTGGGATCAGGAAGATGTGGTGTATTATGAGCTTCTAAAACCAGGTGAAACCATTAATACTGATTGCTACCAAAAACAAATAATCAACTTGAACCACATTTGATCATGAAATGACCAGAATGTGCCAGAAGACACAGCAAAGTAGTTTTGCTTCATGATAACGCACGGCCACACACTTCAAAACCAATTAAAAACATGTTAAAAACATCTTGCCTGGGAAGTATTAGCCCACCCACTGTATTTACCAGAACATAAGAAGAAAATTGTTTAAAAATACTATGAACAACTCTATTCCAACCAACTGGACAACCTGGAGGAAATGGACATATTCCTAGAAAAATACAACCTTCCAAAACTCAATCAGGAAGAATCTAAACATGTCAATAGGTCAATAACTATGGAAGAAATTGAAGCAGTCATCAAAAAGCTCCCAGCAAATAAAAGCCCAGGGCCAGATGGCTTCATAGGGGAGTTTTACCAAACATTCAAGGAAGAATGAAAACCTATCCAAAAAATTCAAGAGGAGCCGAAACCGGTTTGGCTCAGTGGATAGAGCGTCGGCCTGCGGACTGAGAGGTCCCAGGTTCAATTCCGGTCAAGGCATGTACATTGGTTGCAGGGGAGGTAAGTTAGTGGTGATCAGGCCAGCATGGGGGGGGGGGGGAGTTAGGGGTGACCAGGCCAGCAGGGGAGCATTTAGGCATTGATCAGGCTGGCAGGAAAGTGGTTAGGGGTGATTAGGCTGGCAGGCAGAAGCAGTAAAGGGCAATTAGGCAGGCAGGCAGGAGAGAGGCTGTCTGTTTAGGCCAGTGGGATAGGGCCTAAATGGGCAGTCGGATATCCCTTGAGGGGTCCCAGATTGAAGAGTGTGCAGGCTGGGCTGAGGGGACTTTCATCCCCCAACCCCCACTCCCCTGTGCATGAATTTCATGCACTGGGGCTTTAGTAGGAGAATATTTACCTTCTTGGTTATCTTCATGGACTGTCTTCCTGGCATCTCAAACTGTCAAAATTTGAGCTCAGTCCCCAGCAAGAATCTTTGCACAATGCTGTGTACTCTTTGCCATGTTGAATACACCTAACTGTTTACAAGTATATTTCCCCATCCTGTAATTGTGAGTCGTCTGGAAGACAAGTATTTACATTGATTCTTCTAATGTCTAGTTCACATAGATAATACTATGAAACATGAACTATTATTATTTGCCTTTAATAGTGTCTATCGGCAATAATAGTAATCTAAGGAAATCTTCCCAATAAGTTGGAGTAAATGGATTAATGATGACTCACTTCTCTAATTACACAAGACCAAGGTATTGACTAAACTTTTTTAGTCAAGGTCCGAACAGTAAGCAATTTAGGCTTTGCAGACCATAAGGTCTCTGTTTCAACTACTGAACTTTGTATGGGCTGCATGAAAACAGACACTAAGTGAGTGGACATTGTTCTGTTCCAGTAAAATTTTATTTTTGAACACTAAAATTTGAATTTCCTATAATTTTTATGTATCATGAAATAGTCTTTCATTGATTTTTCTTTCAAACACAAAAAATGCAAAACTCATTCTTAGCTCATGGGCCACACAAAAGCCAAGCAAGCATTCATTCTCTCCCTGGGATGACTAATAGAACAACACACAGATTGCAGAGGGCCAAATCCTTGGCTTTTGCATTTCAAAGGTATAAAAGCTGAAGGTTTGGAAGAGATTAGTCATGACTAAGTTTCCCGATAATCACATCCCTTTCCTCCTCCACCAAACAGTAAAGATTACCAGATCAGCAAGAGCTAAAACTGGCCAGGGCCAGGGTTAAGAGGGAAGAATCAAAAGAGTTAAGACACTGGTGATTCACTGAGAAGGGCCCCTGCCCCTGGGCCATGTCCCAAGTTGGGACTTGAAGGCAGTCAGGATTATAAAATTCTCTGAATAGGTTTGAGATTCTCCTTCTCTCCACAAAAAGATGAAACCTCAAACTGATGGAGATCGAGTCTCTATGCCCTAACCCAGTGTTTTTCAACCTTTTTTGGGCAAAGGCACACTTGTTTCATGAAAAAAATCACGAGGCACACCACCATTAGAAAATGTTAAAAAATTTAACTCTGTGCCTATATTGACTATATATAAAGTAATTCTCTTGAATAGGAATCAAATAAACACAAAGAAAGTATTTTATAATTACTTTATTATGAAATATTAAGTAAACAAAATAGTGAAAAATTATAAAATTCTTGTCTTGTCTGCACCTACGGCACACCAGGCAACATCTCGCGGCACACTAGTGTGCCGTGGAACAGCGGTTGAAAAACGCTGCCCTAACCTACCTGGAAATTAACTACTATAAAAAATAAAGCCCAATTTTTGCACTTGAGATCATCCCCTTGCCATGGGTACTCAATTATGTCTAGCCCTCAATGGTCATTTCAGCCTCTGAAAATATCATCTTGAAGTGTGTCAACTTGTGGTTGCAAGGCACTAAGCAGTCACTTGGTTTTGTTGTGGGGTCGAACCCTGGGTTCAAAATAAGACCACCAGAGGCTGATTAATTAATTTTAAAAAGCAGGCAAGGATTTATTGAACTGGCCAGGACAGCCGCGAGAGCACCACCCGCAGGTGGTCTCACACGACTGCACCGTTTCAGGGGTAGGCAATTCCTTTTAAAGGTTTAAATCGCAAGAATGTTCCTTTTGTTCCTAAATCCTAAAGACTAAATTCTAAAGACTGGGGACAGCCCGCAGGGTTAGGTCCCAGTCACATCCTGCTGGACACTGGAATGTGGCCCTATCTTGCGATAGTCGATAACACAGAAGCAGAGCTCAGCGGTTAGTCTCTAAAGGTTATCTACAGTTTCTATCCCTGAAGCTATTGAGTCAGTGGGAATCAATCTCCTGTGGTCCTGGTCCCAGGCAAGGGAAAATTGCCTTAGCCTCCAGGTCTTCACTTGGAAGCTGAGGTAAGTACCCAGTGTTTTAATCAGATGCAGGGGCCAAACTATTAATAGAAGGGTTAAAATTCAAACAGCAGTTTTTACCAAAGTATGGTTGCCAGTATATTTCAGGCTTCACTCATGATAGAACTGCTAACAGTTCTGTAAAAATTTTCCCTCTAGTTTAGAATTCTGGCTGTACTTTAGGGTACTTCTTCACAAGGACTTATCTATAAATGTAATGGAAAGGGACATATTAGGGAATAACAACTCCCTTCTAAGAGAAGCTAATGTTAACATAAAAAAAACAAACACACTGAAACCTGTAAAGAATTTCTGTGAGTTTATTTGAGCCAAACTGTCGACATATGCCGGGAAGCAGAATCTCAATGAATCGAGATAATGCTCCGGAGAATGGTGGGTTACATCTGTATTTATACACTGCAATCAAAGGAAAGAAATGTAGGTGGGTTACATGAAATCCTATCTAGTGATAGACTAGAGAGGTGGGAGAAAGCAAAACAAGAAAACCCCTGGGGTGGATAAAAAGTAAAATGATAGACACACATTTAGGTGGGTACAGGAACAATTAACGTAACAATGAAGGAATTTGTGATCTCTGTCCTGGAGCCCAGGCATATTAGGTTGTGCCCCAAAGGGGTCCAGAAAAAGGGAAGTTACAAGTTACCCAGACATTTCAAAGGTATGTATGTTATTATAGACAGAGACCCAGTGCACAAAATGTGAGAGAAACATCGACCAACTGCCTCCTGCACATCTACTGGGGATGTGCCTGCAACCAATGAACATGCCCTTGACTGGAATTGAACCTGGGACCTTTCAGTCCGCAGACTGACACTCTACCACTGAGCCAAACTGGCTTCGGCAGCAAGGATTTATTGAAACAACTGGCCAGGACAGCCATGAGAGCACCACACACAAGTGGTCTCACACGACTGCACCATTTCAGGGGTAGGCAATCCCTTTTAAAGGTTCAAACCACAGGAATTTTTCTTTGTTCTAAATTCTAAATCTTAAAGACTACATTCTAAAGACTGGGGTCAGCCTGCAGGGTTGTTGCTAGTCACATACTGCTGGACATTGGAATGTATCCCTATCTTGCAATAGCCGATAACACAGAAGCAGAGCTCAGCGGTTAGTCTCTAAAGGTTATCTACAGTTTCTATCCCTGAAGCTATTGAGTCCGTGGGAATCAATCTCCTGTGGTCCTGGTCTCAGGCAAGGGAAAATTGCCTTAGCCTCCAGGTCTCCACCTGGAAGCTGAGGTAAGTATTCCGTGTTTAATCAGGCAGGAGCCAGACTTAGCAGGGTTAAAATTCAAACAGCAGTTTTTACCAAAGTATGGTTGCCACTTTATTTCAGTATATTACCTCTTTGTTATATAGGATGCAAAAAGATAGACTCAGTTAAGGTATAGGTTGACCTTGTCAGTAAAGATACTGGCCTAGGATGTAACTGCCCACCAAACTGCTTTTAGTTAAAGTTTCATTTCAGACCATGAGGTTACTTTAGGTCTCTGAGTTTGCAAAACCACTATGAAGGTCTTTATTGAGCTTGTCAGGTGAGCATGTGGCCCCTTTCATCCACCCTAATATGAAGAAGAATGCATTTGAAAGTCAAACTTTTGGCACAAATAAAATGTCTCCTGGAACACAGTAGACCTCAGGGGTCACCAGTCATGTTTACATGCAGAAAATTCCAATAGCCATGGGTAGAGACATGACTTATGGAAACTCTGAATGATATCTTTCAAGGAGCATGACATCCCCAATATAGATATTTTTCATGAATTTTATGTTTTCAATGCATTGCAAATTTTAAAGATTTATGTTAAGATTTTTTTTAAAGATTGAGTTTTAACAGAAGAATTCTTAAGTGAGGTTGCTCTTTAAAAAAAAAAAATCTTGATAGTTTCAACTTTCTCTTTCATGAGTGTTTAGAAACTGTTTTCTCCCAGCTGCTACATAAATGCATTTTTAGACATATTTTATGTCTACCTTTTAATCATGCTTCACTTTTTCAGTAAATCCCTTATCACAACATACAGCGGTGCTGTATAAATGATTTCTCTCTCCCATCTAAAGCAGCTTGTTTGGGGGGTCATTTTTCATTACGTTTTGTAGCAGGTTGCAGTGCTCTAGAAAATGATTTTTAAGTTTATACCTCTGCTATTTTCTTGCTTACTTTCCTTTGGATTTTTACAGTTCAACTTTCTTAAATGTTTCATTCTATTTTCTCACTCATACATATACATAACAGGTCTTACAGAATCTGAGTAAATTTGCAATAAGGACCAATTTAACAGCTTAGCTTATGAGTGATTTTTTCTAAAAATCATCATTAGCAAGTGAAATTATATCCAACTGCAGAGAGAGAAAACTGAAATCAAACAATTGCTATTAGGTCTCCGTTTCTTCTACCCCATTATAATCAGCTATTTCAAAATGAAGAATATATTACATTTGGACTTTCTTGAAATTTAAAATCTTGAGACAGTTATCAAATACAATGTGTCCTTCATTTTAAAACAAAAAATATTCTTCATTGATTTTAGAGAGAGAAAGGGAGAGGGAGAGAAAAAGATAGAAACACCAATGATGAGAGCGAATCATTGACTGGCTGCCTCCTGCACACCCCACACTGGGGATTGAGCCTGGAACCCACAAGCTGGCATGTGCCCTGACTGGGAATCAACTGTGACATCCTGATTCACAGGTAGATACTCAATAACTGAGTCACACCGGCTGGGCTATACTTCACTTTTAATGTTAAATAGCATGTATTTAATTATTTATGGCCATGTTTTACCTAACCTACCCTATTCCTCTTTGTTTTCCCATGCTCTGGAAGAGTGCCTGAAACACAATAGGTACTCATGCATTTCTGCTAAATTGAATAATAGTTTTAAAAACACATTCTATTGCCAAAACAGGTTTGGCTCAGTGGATAGAGCATAACCATGCAGACTGAAAGGTCCCAGGTTCGATCCCGGTCAGGGCACATCCCCAGTAGGGAGTGTGCAGTAGGCTGATAGATGTTTCTAACTCTCTATCCCTCTCCCTTCCTCTCTGTAAAAAAATCAATAAAATATATTTAAAAAAAATAAAAATAAATAAAAGCATATTCTGTCAGTTCATTATTGTTATTTATCCTTTTTAGGTTAAGGAATTTGATACCAATTTTACTTATGTGCAACAGTCAACATTTTATTTGGAGCCAAATACCAAATATGTATTTCAAGTGAGATGTCGAGAAACAGGTAAAAGCTACTGGCAGTCCTGGAGTTCACCCTTTTTTTCATAAAACACCTGAAACAGGTGAGTGTATCTATATATTTAATCTTTTAGGCTTTTCTTTTGACCTCTATCTCTCTTCTAATTATATACTTTTTTTTTCTTCTTGATGTCTATCAAAATTGACAAAAGGATTCTAGGGTCGGTGGTAATACTCTCATTGTCATTTTGCTTTGATTTTTGTGAAGGCTGGTTATAATTTATGTAATGGTTCTTGAACATTCCTGGGCCTAAAAACCAGTGCAAACCACCTGGTGTGCATGTTCACCGTCCCCACTTCACAGGTCTCGGGTAGCAGGAGTGTGGGGGATGCTTAAGCGTCAGCATTGCTCACAAACATCCTGGGTGATTGTGAGTCAGGTAATAACCTAAGACATTATTTTGAAAAAAGACATTATTTAGAGTTACATTCAATTCTTTATGTCAATCTGATAAAAATATATTCTTCAAAAACTGACACAAGTCAAATCATATTGATTACCTACTATATGCAAAACAAGCTGAGTTAAAGCACTTAAATATAAAATTAATTCTCTTCTCAATAAAATTAAGCTAAGCTGTTGTTTAGATATTTCTCTGCTCTTAATATTATTAGTTTAATATTCTAGATATTTACACATCATTTTATAAAATCTTAGCTATTGATAAATAGACTTCAATTGTAAGCACACAATAAAATGAACCTATTGTAATTATCGAAGTATTTCATAATTGCCCCATTATCCTGAAGATGTCTCTCTAGTATAGGTAGCTTATACACTAGATCTAATTTTTTCTTTTCAGAACAGAAAAACTTAATTATAATCTCACTATTGTTAATATCATCTTTATTATAAGATATCATCTTTAATTGTATTTTATGTTTTCAAAGCAGTTTAACATTCATTATAAATATTGGTGATCAACAATCAGCATATGGAGAAAGCCAAGACCCAAAGACTGGGTTAAAAGTTCTTTTGGCGCCCCCTAAAACCCATATTTCAGAAACACATTTTAAAAAATCATAATTTTTTTAAAATTATGATTGATATACATTATTATATTAGTTTCAGATGTTCACTTCAGTGATTAGATATTATATAACTTACTAAGTGATCATCTGATAAATTTCACACCCTATGACACCATACATAGTTACTAAAATTTTATTGATTATATTCCCTATGCTGTACTTTATATCCCCATGATTATTCTGTAACAACCAATTTGTACTTTTTAATCTCTTCACCTTTTTTTCCTCATCCCCCCAACTCTCCCTTCCATCTGGCAACTGTCAAAATGTTCTCTGTATCTATGAATCTGTTTCTGTTCTGCTTGTTCAATTATTTTGTGTTGTGTTGTTGTTGTTTTTTTTTAGATTCATTTGCTGGTAAATATGTATTTACTGTAATTTTATTGCTTATAATTTTGATCTTTTTTTTCCTTCTTCTTAAAGAAGACCCTTTAACATTTCATATAACAACTGGTTTAGTGGTGATGAGTACCTTTAACTTTTTCTTATATGGGAAGCTCTTTATCTGCCTCCCATTTTTAATGATAGCTTTATTGAGTAGAGTAATCTGTTGTAAGGTCCTTGTTCTTCATCACTTTGAATATTTCTTGCCCCTCTCTTTTGGCCTGCAAAGTTTGTTGAGAAATCAGCTGGCAGTGTTTATGGGAGCTCCTTTGTAGGTAACTAACTGCTTTTCTCCTGCTGCTTTTAAGATTTTCTCTTTTTCTTTAATCTTTTGCATTTTAACTATGATGTGCCTTGGTATGGGCCACTTTGGGGTCATCTTATTAGGGACTTTCTGCATGTGCTTGATTTATAGTTCCTTCACCAAGTTGGGGAAGTTTTCTGTTATTTTTTCAAATAGGTTTTCAATTTCTTCTCTCTCTGTTTTTCATCCAGTACCCCATGATGTGAATGCTGGTATGCTTAAAGTTGTCCCAGAAATTCTTGACACTACCTTCATTTTTTTGGATTCTTTTTTTCTTTTTCTGTTCTAATTGGGTATTTTTTTGCTCCCTTATATTACAAGTCACTGATTTGATTCTCAGCTTCCTTTACTCTACCATTGATTCTCTATAAATAATTCATTTCAGTTAATGTATTCTTCATTTATGAAGTTCTCACTAAATTCATTGAGCATCCTTATAAACTGTTTTGAATTCTGCATCTAGTATAGGCTTGTCTCCATTTGGTTTAGTTCTTTTTCTGGAGGTTTGTTCTCTTCTTATTGGCTCAAGAGTTAAGCACATTTTAAGATGCTTGTTGAAAATTGTCAAATTAGTCATTAGTAAATCTTTAATGTCAGTTGCTTTTTAAAACAATTCATGAAAAGTTACTCATTTAGTCACTCATGTTCATTTGGACTCTACTAGGCACCGGGCACTTGCTAGATACTTGCAGAACCTCAGTGAGCAGATATAAAGATCCCTTAATTCTAGAGAAGACAGTGAATAAAAAAGCATAACAAAACATTAAATTACATAGCACTGTGAATAAAGATATAACTAAAAGCAGTAAGAATGAAACCTCATTTTTAAAAAAATATATTTTATTGATTCTTTACAGAGAGGAAGAGAGAGGGATAGAGAGTTAGAAACATCTATGAGAGAGTATCATCAATCAGCTGCCTCTTGCACACCCCCTGCTGGGGATGTGCCCACAACCAAGGTACATGCCCTTGACCGGAATTGAACCCAGGACCTTTCAGTCTGCAGGCCAGCGCTCTATCCACTGAGCCAAACCAGTTTCGGCAAGAATGAAACCTCATAACTGAAGTTTCAATTATTTCACAATTGAAAAAAATAATTCCTATTTCTTTAGTTAACCAACTTGCTTGATAATAGGGCTTTTTGAGCAGCCAAACTTTCCCAATAATTAAAAGTTTATTTACATATGAAGAAACACAGGCCAGGCAGTAATGTTCCCTCTAGGCAGAAACTTCCTATTTTGTTTTCTGAAATTATATGTGGATAACTGAACTGATTAATCTCAAAACAATGTGTTTTTCCCAGGCCTATAACTTCCTAAGTGGAAGTTTGTAAGCCAGCCCTGCTCATTGTTCTTGTGCACACCTTGGAAATACTAGAAGTAATACCCCTCGAAAGTGGCGTGAGAGTTAATAATCTTGTTAATTAACCTGTAATCTAATTCCTGCTCTGCTTTCTCCTGCCTCCATGTACATTTCTTTATTCATTTTAAAAAGCTGCAAAATTGTTATTCTCAGGAACTTTTGAGATCTTGCTCCCTGGCATATGTTTAACTCAAATAAACTCTTATGAAAATTCTAAAACAATAACAACAACACACAAGAAAACAAACACACATACACACACACACACAACACACACACACACACAAACACATAAACACATAAACACACATGCGTGTTTTCAAAATTCTGCTCAGATGACACTGCAGGGCAAACCATGAAGCAGGTATGGCCTCTAACATTCTTCTCTATCACTTTCCCTCTGGATACTGCCTTTCCTTAACCTTTGAAAGCTTAGTCTCCAAAAGAAACCAAACAAACTCATTTATTGCGAGGGTTAAATGATTTATTATTCTTTTTTCTTTCCTCAGAGTATTTAGACTTTACTGGAAAACAAAGCCTTACAATAAAAAAGAAAAAACAAAAAATCAATCTCAGAATATAATATCAGGCTTAAGCAAACACACAGGATAAGTTTCTCTGGGTTAGAAACTCATGTTTTTCTATGCTGGTATAATAGCAAAGCTTAATTAACTGACTGAATGCAGGGTGACTTCAGGACAATCCATAATAATAAAAGCAGAATATGCTAATGAGATAGGACAGCTGAATGACCTTCTGGGCATCCTTCCAAATGAAACCAGGGCTGTGAAAGCCGAGCCACTTGCACGAATTTCGTGCACTGGGCCTCTAGTAAATAATAATAGCTAACGTTTATTGGATGCTCTCTCTGTCTTGGGCACTATGAGAAGCATTTTACATATGAATTGCCCTTTACTCATCACTGTAAGAGTGTAATTATTATTCCAATTGTGCAGATGAAAAAGATAAGAGACACAGGGAAATTGCAAGTTTTGTCAACTGTTATAAAGCTGGTAAATGGTAGAGCCAGGGCCTACCACAGGCTGTGGGGTTCTAGCACCTGCAGGACAGCTCTGCTGTCTCCTTTCCAGGAGATGTAGGAGGGCCCTGTGTCAGCACCCCCTCAGCCACCAAACCAAATCCTCCTCCACACATTAGCTAATGGTAAAATTATACCAACAGCACTTCATTTTAAGTGTCATGTTTGTTATGAAAATGCAAACACATGAGAAAAGAGTGAACCATAATTTGATATCAAATATTTCTACTTCGCCATGAATACAAGGTGTCATAGCAGTCTTGGGTTAAGGTGAAGAGAATGAAATTGCAGGACTCCAGGAACCTTGGGATAGGGGCAGTATGAGGTGAGGAAAAGTTGGCTTTGGTCAAGACAGGCCCACCACAGGACAATCTGTGTTGTTCTAGCTGGTCCTGATTCAGTGAAGGGTCTAGAACACAGTGCTTCCCAGAGTGAGGTCTGTGGACCGTCTGTATTAGAAATGCTTGGGAAATTAATTCACAGTCAGATTCCTCAGCTTCTAGCCAAGTGATACTTCTGCAGTAAGGTGTAAGAACCACTGCACCTAGAGCTTAGACACTCCTCCTAAGAGGGACAAGTGTCTCGAACAACAGTGTTGGGTGTAGGCAGGATATGCAGACAGAACTGAGCAGAATTAAATAGTGCATTAAAAAGACCGTACACCACAATCAAGTGAGGTTTATCCCTGGGATGCAAAAATGGTTCAACATGCCCAGCCAACGTAGCTCAGAGGTTGAGTGTCGACCTATAAACCAAGAGGTCATGGTTCTTTTCCCTGTCAGGGCGTATTCCTAGGTTGCGGCTTTAATCCCCAATGTGGGGCGTTCAGGAAGCAGCCGATCAATGGTTCTCTCTGATCATTGATGTTTCTCTCTTTTTCTCTCCCTTCCTCTCTGAAATCAATAAAAATAAAAATAAACAAA